GAAGTTACTGAACTTTCTAGTAAATTAAAAATGGTCCACAGATATCTGAACAAAAAGCAAAACAAGAAAGTAGAAGATCAGTTTGCTTCAGTATTCACAGTGGCACCGAATGCCATATAGCAGTAAAGCAATGTTTCCATATTTCTTAGAAAAGTAAGAATTTAGACTAAACAGCTTTGATAAATATGGTTCATTACCACAAATAATAAAGAAATCAGTGGCAATCTTAATCTTAAAAGGATGATAAAACAAGAAGAGGGAAAAGGGATTTAAAAAGAAATATCAATTTGACATCTTTCGTAGCAAAAAGTCAAAAGATGTTGCTTAAAGTTAAATTCAGTCATTTAAAAAAAATTACCAGAACTCAGCGGGTTAACCTGTTTTTAATTGAAGTACTGCTGACATACAAGGTTGTATTAGTTTTAGGCTTACAACATAGCGATTAGACAATTCTATACATTACTCATTGCTCACCAAGATAAGCAGAGTCACCATTTGTCACTATACAATGGTATTAGAATATTATTGACTATATTCCTTATGCTTATGCTTTATCTCCAGGACTTACCTATTTTATCACTGAATGTTTGTATTCATCTATTTCACCCATCCCCCGACACCTCTCTGGCAAGTATCAGTTTGTTCTCTATATTTAAGGTTCTATTTGTCAAGTAATAGCATCACACTGGTGAAGACACATTAATTTGAAATTAATAAATTCCTTCAGTTTAAATTCACTTCTTATTTCTTCCATTATATTGGAAGCAAACTGAAAAAATAACTCTTTATTAGAAATACAAAGTATAGGGGTGCCTGGGTGGCTCAGTCAGTTAAGCAAGCGTCTGCCTTTGGCTCAGGTCCTGATCCTGGGATCCCTGGACTGAGCCCCTTGCTTGGGGCTCCCTGCTCTGTAGGAAGTCTGCTTCTCCCTCTGCTCCTCCTCCCACTCATGCTCTCTCTCTCAAATAAATAAGATTTTTAAAAAATAAAAACAAAGTACAAATAAGATGTTTTACAAAACCATCCCTATTTACTTGTATATATGCACACAGAGACGTTGTAGACAATGTTCACCAAATGTTAAAAGGTGTGAGGCAAGGTGGTGATGGTGCATGCTTTAATGTTTTAAAAATGAGCAATGCATCATCTTTTCAAATAATAAAGCCATTATTCTACTTTAATAATTGTATAATATTTCTCAGATCCCTATATATTATTTTGTTCTCATTTCTCAGATAAGAGAAATTAGACACCCAAAAGTGAAATGACTTGATAGAAGGGTGACCTAATTCAGAATATTTTAATAAATATGTGATATACCTACTAGTTTTGATTGTTATCAAATCTACTGACGTGGCCCAATAAGAGGATGACATATATTATAATTATATATGCCTGAACTGCCACATACAGTAGGAAATTCCAAAGAGTACTCAACATAAGGCCAAAGTCACCAGGCAATTCTTCTAGAAGGTTGCCACACACCAACCATGTGTTAAAGTTAGTGACCACTGAGGGCACTTCGAATTCTGAAAATGTTTGACTTTATGATGTGAAGTCATACAACAAAGTCATGAATCTCTCTCTTATGCTATAAAATAGTATCAATAACACACTCACATTTAGAGCTCTATGCTTTAAATTGTTTTCACAAATTCATCATACTTTCTTTCCCCCCATAGCAACTCTTGAAATAGTAGGACAGGTGTTATTAATTCCACCATGCAGTTGAGAAAATTAAAATTCAGAAAAGATGTCACTGGTTCATGATCATACAGACAGATTATCACAGAGCCAAGACTTGTTTTTCTGTCTTTGTTCTATTCCATGTTTATTATCCAAGCAGCTACTCTACAGAAACGTATAGTAGCCCATACCTGAGAATATATTTATTTATATACCTGGGGTTTTCTGAGCAACTATGCCTACTTAGTTCAAAATGGAAAAAAAAAAAGGCTAGGTTGCTGTGGATTCTTTCTATCCTGTGTGAAAAGAGACCCTTGGAAATTCATGGAAAAGAACTTTAAAACACCCACACTATAAATGCCCACCCATCACTATGCTACAAACTCTTTTTTTGGTAAGAAATTAAAACTTTCTCAGAAAAGTTTGCTATTGTCCTCACGGTTTCCATAAAGAAATGAAAGTCATTCACTGCTAATACTGGATGGTTTAAGCAGCTGTTCATCAGAGGTAGTCAGAGAGCAAGTTTTCATGTTAACTCTGATAAGCTGGGCTAATGTATATGCAAGCATATATTTTGGACACCTGCTCTAAACCAGCAGCTGAGAAGCACTTGGTAAACACACCCTGGAGCGGCTGGAAAACAAATGGAGCAAAGCCAGGTTTGTGCAGCCAGGTCCACGAACAAGCCGCCTCATTCACGAGGAGAGCAACTGGTAAATACATTCATAAGCATATATACCATATTTTATGATAATACTGTGAACAGGAAATAACGGGAATGGAATCTTTTCTGAATTTATTTGATGTTTTCTAATGGCAGATGGTAGGGGGCAAATTCAAATGCAATGAAATTGAATAAAAGAACTTAAAAACTGAGTAAAAGAAAGAACTTAATGCAAATATAGCTATTTTCTAAGGAAAGAGAAGATGAAGACTGCTCCCAGAAGTGAGACTCTTGGTGTGGCCAGAAAAGGAATTCTGCAAATGCTATTCAGGCCATTTAAATATTAGACCCTAAGCAGAAAGGCACAGCATGATATTCTGTGGCTCTTGGCAAGATTTGATCACCACTGGCACACTGGAAATGTACTGAACAGTCTTAAGAGCAGTATTCAAATCTCTTTTCAATTATGTAGACAGTGGCAATGTTACTTCCACTGCTGACACTTTAAAACTTCATTTTTTTTAAAGATTTTATTTATTCATAGAGACACATAGAGAGAGAGAGGCAAAGACACAAGAGAGGGAGAAGCAGGCTCCATGCAGGGAGCCCGACATGGGACTCGATCCCGGGTCTCCAGGATCATGCCCTGGACTGAAGGCGGCGCTAAACCGCTGAGCCTCCCGGGCTGCCCTAAAACTTCATCTTAATAGTGACCTTGTCAATACACTTAAAATACAGAAAAGATAAATTTTCAAACTCTGCAATTTTCTTCCTGAATCAGACATTGTTAAAATTAACAGTATCTGATTCAAGCAGGCTTATAAAGAAGCACCAATGTATTCTCTGTTCTAAGGCATCTGTAAGTGGAATTACAGATCAAAAATATGGAAAAGATCTATAAGAAAAAAAATAATTCATCAGGACAAACATACATTAAGTGAAATACTGCTCCTTCCTCTATATAGACTTTTGAAAAAGACTTTTATAAGCGAGGAGGCACAATCATTTAGAATGAATCACATATATTATAGTCAATCAAGATAATATTTTCAGAACTTATCCTCAGGGTAAGTAGTAACACAATGATTCTCTTTGCCATCATCTTCAGTTGTCATAAAATTAGTTACAGAACAAGGACATTGTCAAAATGAATAAATTCACAAAGTTAATACAGATCCATTCAAACATAAAATTTAATAACAATCGAATGAAAACATAAAGTAATACTTTACCAACATCATACATAAGGGATAAACATACTTTGGATGGTAATGAGTAAAGGTTTCCATATTTACATAGGGATGAGCCAGGAAAATTTAAATTTACTACCTTAGCTTTAGGGAGTCCATAATATCATGAACTTTATGAATGAAATTATCAGCGGTGTGCTGGTTCTAGCTCATTCCTTGGCTCATGAATGCCAACTGTTAAATTCTAAGGATCCCTGCAAGCTAGTTTTTAAATCACTGAAACCAGCCATAATGAGAGTATTTACACCATGGGAACTGACAAACGCTACAGATTGGGCCTCCTGACCCCAACACCCAGAGCCAGTTTAAAAGCACCTCACTGATCACATAAAAATACACAGTACAATTAATTCTCACAAAGTAAATTCCCCCACTTAGGCAATACTGGGGTCAAGAAAAAGAACATTACCACACACCCACAAGTCTCTCTAGTATCACGTGTGAATCAATACTCCCTCTAGAGGTCTGAAAAATCTTCTAGGTACAAATACTAGAAAGGAGCAATGTTAGCAATGATGAGAGAAGAAGGCAATGTTAAATCAAAGTTTAAGCTGGAAAGTCATTTGTAAGCAACTGTGAAGGCAGGCTGGCAAAAAAAGACACAACTTGATGCACATTTACTTGACAATAGCATGAGCAGTGTGGAAGGAAAATATGAAACAGCAGGTGTTGTGCAGCTATGCAAGGGTTATGAGTTATGAGGCACATGTCTATGTACTAGACATGTTGAGCGTGAAAACCTTAGGAAAGAAATACTCTAATTTTATGTGTATTTCCTACAATTTTTATATTCTAGCCAGTACAGAGTATGAGGAAAGCTCAAATAAATAACTGCCACACATAAAGTGATAGCCAGCTTTTGATTACTGCTGAAATTCACAAGATTTTTCCCCCTCTAACTTTAGAGTGGAACCTGTCTGTGAAAAAACAAACCCTTCCTCATCCCACTCCTCTGAAGAAAGCTGACAGGGCTGGAGCAAAGAGGACAGCATTTGACAGCAATCCTGTGCCATGTGGTACTGGTATCAGGATTACACTTGTAGGAAATAACATATATTTACACAAAATCTGGCTTCTTTTGTTTTTGCTTTGTCCCAGTGATCAGTTGTATATAGTAGTTTCCCAGTTTTCAAGATTTATCAACAAACTGATTCTTTAATTCCAGCTTAAGTTCTAGAAACTGAGGACAACTAGAACTTATACAAAAACAAGTTGCCTCCTTACAAATGTCTTCGTATTTTAGGGTTTAAAAATTAAAACTTACACTTTATAGATAGATGTATGTACAAAGTATTGGCCTCTGTCTCATACTCAGACATGGAAGTGCTCTCATAATAACTGCCCCCAAGTAATGTTCAACATAAGATTTTCACTGCAGTTACCAAATTTGATGAACTAACCTTTATTGTTTTCCTCTTCATATGGATATTCATTCATCCATTTGTCTCTAGAGTCACATTGATCCTGCAAGAAAAACACACAACAACAAATAATGAGAAGTTCCACATGCTGATGACATTCTTCCATTGGGGGTGAACAACTTAATTCTGCAATTCTTTAGGCTTTTGATTAGTAGAACAACATAATAAAAGCAATAACCAAAGAATTTTTTTTCTTTAGTTGTTTGTTGCTTTTTCTCTACCAGCCACTAAAGGCCAAAGTGGAGGAATGAAAGAATAGAAATTGGATCTCCAACTATGACAGCTCCTGGGCACAAGATAATGAAGATCTGGAGAAAGATATGGGAGAGAGAGAAGAAAAATGGAGGTAGCAGAGACAATGTAGAGGAGAAAATGCCAGAATTTGGTTTAAAAGTAAACCAGTAAACTCCTCCTGGAGCACTTGGCTTCCTTATTCTTAGCAACCAAAAGATTTTTAAAGTAATGCTATTTTCCAGAGGAAATGATCTTTTTTCCCTTACAGTTGATACAAATATGCAGCATAATATGAATACTTTTTTTGTACCTCCATGTTGATCAATACACAAGTAGCTTTTTTTTTTTTTTTGAGATTTATTTATTTGAGAAAGCATGCGTACAAGTGCACACAGGTGCATGCGACATGCCAGGGGAGGGGCAGAGGGAGAGAGTCCTCAAGCAGACTCCCTGCTGATCACAGAACCCACCACAAGGGCTCAATTCACAGCCAGGGGATCATGGCCTGAGGCAAAACCAAGAGTGGAGCGGGCCACCCACTTAAGCCACTGGGCCACCCAAGCATCCTCCCTGCCCACCCCCGCCCCCTCCAGTAACTTGTTAAAAATTAATCTGATATATGCCACTTCTTGAAAGCTTCCATATCCCCAGGACCATTTGAATCTCACCAAATATAATTAAATATTGCTAGACTAGAGAGTTCAGATTACAATAAACCACTTGCCCTATTTGGAAGTATCTTGAAAGTCCTGTTTATTTTCATTCAGCATTATATAACTTACTTCAGAATTCCCACTTCATGAGGCAAATTTTCTTTGGCATTCAGTTAAGCCAGCTTAGTAGGCATAAATGACTTTGTTTTCTCATTTGGAATTATACTCAAGAGGAGACAGGCCTTGGCGTTCATAGCAGCACCCACTCTGTGCCAGTGGGCCACCACTGAAGCACCAGGCCAGATTTCCTTTCCATGTGGTCTCCATACATTTGAAAACAAAAAGGGTTCACTCACTCATAGGACCTTAAATGAAATGTAGCACAATTTACAAGTTCTATGGGCTTGGTCTGTAAGGAGGATTGGCCTTTAATTTTATTCTGGTTTTAAATCAATCAATCAATTAACCAATTTGTCTCTCCTTCCCCTTTGCCCCCTCCTTTCCTCCACACTCTTAATATTTATATATATAAAAACACATACATTTTTGTCTCAAAATGCATCTTCTAATATATACTACAGCTTTTACTACTAGAAATGCTAGTGAAAAGCAACATAACATAAATGTAATATTTTAATAATATTTTAACATTACAATGGCAAACTAGATAAATTCTCTTGAAATTCAGAGTACAATTCTATTTTATATTATAAAACCATAATATGGTATCCCTTGAAAGAATTAAAAAGTCATCTAAAACACCATGTTCTTATCAAACATGTCCTGTCCTTTCTAGTCTTCAAAATATATCTAAATCAATCAGTTCCAACCTAGCAAAATGTACTGGGTACATCAAAAACTGGTTTCAATCTTACATTCCAATTTTCTATGATTTTTTCACACTTTGATATAGCCTGGCCATTTTCACATGATATTCAACTTCCTACTGCTTATTCCAAACTTCATAATACTCCCATTGTAGGGATACATTTACTCCCAAATTTTTGCCTAATAATTTATGACTTTGTGCTACTACTGATAACGTTTCAACATCCTTCTATGTAAATCTTGTCTACACCAGGGCCTCTACACCAAAGGCTTGGATAATGCCTTTGTACAACTAGAGCAGACACAGACAGACTCTAATCAGGAGGGAGGGCCAGGCAAGCAGAGCCCACAGATTTTCACCACCATTCGTCCCTCAGCCACCCTCATCTACTATACTTAGCTGCTCTAAGTCTGCACCTTTAATTATTGCCTTAGGATATAGTTATAGAAGTATAATTACTAGATCAAAATAATAGGAACTTTTTTTCTGGTTTTCAAAATATCTTTTTAGGGGATCCCTGGGTGGCGCAGCGGTTTGGCGCCTGCCTTTGGCCCAGGGTGCGATCCTGGAGACCCGGGATCGAATCCCACATCGGGCTCCTGGTGCATGGAGCCTGCTTCTCCCTCTGCCTGTGTCTCTGCCTCTCTCTCTGTCTCTCTCTCTGTGACTATCATAAATAAATAAAAAAAAAATTTAAAAAAAATATCTTTTTAAACAGACCATGCTAATTTATACTCCCAACAGATAAAGACACACACGCTAACATAGTGCCATTCCCATCTTTATTTCCTGAAACACAGCACATTCCCTAGCACATTTCAGGGGATCAACAAATGTCTGTCAAATGAGTAAATGAAGCTAATGACAAATGGAAGAAAAGTAAACTCATCTTTCCATCATGTAGAATTGTCTTATCCATGTAACTATAGCCTTCATCATATAATCTGTATTTTTAGTTAAAATTAATTCTGAAATAAACATTACATTATGAACCATACATAACACAATATCCCTCATTTTGATAGCATTTTGGGATTTATGGAGTAGCCCATGATATAATTTGTACTGAAAGCAGTTCCGTGACTTGAGTATAGGAACTACTTTAAGATCTATTTGACAATGATGAGATCAATTTTGTACCCAAGGTAACTAGTTAGATAATGTCAGGGTCCTTATAAAACTCCTTAGTTCCACATCTGACCAGTGTTCTTTGTGGTTTATCTTTACAACTGCCTACAACTTCCATGTATTTTTATTTTATTTTTTTTAAAGATTTTATTTATTCATGAGAGACACAGGTAGAGGGAGAAGCAGGCTCCATGCAGGGAGCCTGACGTGGGACTCAATACCGGGTCTCCAGGATCAGGCCCTGGACTGAAGGCGGCGCTAAACCACTGAGCCACCCAGGCTGTATGTACAAATTAAAAACCTGAGGCAAACGTATGTTTTACCTCCGAGGAAAACCTGGTAATAATACTAACTTGTGTCTTCCGTGTAATTCACGTTCCTCAAAGCGTGCTCAAGCTCATCTCTTGCTCTGCAGTTCCCAACTGGCACCCCTCTACTTTAAGGAGCACAAATGGTAGCAAATGAAGACACAGTTGAGAGCTGAGAAGACCTATTCCTAGGGTCACCTCTGCCTCCCCACTGGACATCTGACCTGAAACAAGTCATCCAACCTGAGTCCCAACTTCCTTCTCCACAGAGGCGGTGTTAACAGTAACATCAGTTCTATCTACCCCACCTACCCTAAGCAATGTCTATACAGCAATCTGCGGGGCACAATGGAATTACCACTCTTTAATCAGTGGCCCAGAAAGCTGAGACCACAAAATAAGCAGATGAATCTCTCTTTTATTCATGCTAAGGGACCTTTGTTTTGCCCCCCCCCAATCCCCATCAATATCAAGCCATGATATAAAATACAAAAATGGCTCATTTCCAGCAACAGTTTATATCTCATTAATTTCCTAAAAGATTACTTAACTCTGCCAAATAGGTTTGTAAAATTATCCAGTAAATCTTCTCAAAGCACAGAAGTTTTAAAGGCTACTATCCTCATCAAAAATCCATCACACATGGTTTTGGTGCTTACTTTCCTGGCTTCAAAAATGATTCTCGGGGCATCTGGGTAGCTCAGTGGTTGAGCATCTGCCTTTGGCTCAGGTCATGATCCTGGGGTCCTAGGATCAAGCCCCACATCAGGCTCCTTGCAGGGAGCCTGCTTCTCCCTCTGCCTATCTCTCTGCATATCTCTCTCTCTCTCTCTCTGTGTGTGTGTGTGTGTGTGTGTCTCATGAATAAATAAATAAAATCTTTAAAAAAAATGATTCTCAATTGTCAGGTAAAGAAGCAGCAAAGAGTTGGTCACTTACTTCAATACAAAAAAAATGTGAGAAATAAGAAAAGGCACAAAATACTACATTTTGGAAAGAAGTTCAGAGTTACTCTTAAACAAAAATACTGCTGCCTATAACTAGTAGTTAATACTCATGTTTTAATGGTGAGTCTGGACAAATTGTAGCAATAAAGAATGATCTTCTAAATTCTGTTACTTTCTAACTCTTGTTGTCTCCCCTAAAATTTCCTAAAAGGAACTGTAAGCTTTCTTTGTAAGTCAAAGAGAGTACCCTGGGACAACAGAACTTGACCTTGGCCAGAAGGCACATGGATGCCACCCACCTCAATGAAGAAGGAGTCACACATCAAGGTGTGTGTTTATGATTATTACCCTGTAGTAACAGGCTGCTGACTCTTCATCACATCCCCAATGATCTATTATGTTCTCGATCTTTAAAGGTGAGTGTTTAATACATTCTAAACAGTTCAGGACTCAAAAAAAAAAAAGTTCAGGACTCATAATTATACTTGTTGATAGTCCCCCTGAAAATCCCTTTCATGTATCTTGAAACAGAGACAGAGAAACCCCTTTTAAAGGTGTTTTCAGACATCTGACTAGTCAGGGTATTCTACTCTCTGCCCAAAGGTAATTTAGTTGCTCTGTTTCAAGTAAATTGAATTCTGGTAATGGTACAGCAATCCCATTTGGAATTCTGTCTTCTAGATTCAGTTTTACAAATCATTGCTTCATTAGTTGTGATCTTGTGTTTTCAAGGGCTGATAAAAAAAAAAGAGTCAGGTAATAAAGATTCATATACATATTCACATAACTTTTTAAGCCAATTAAGGAACCTGACAGGCAGGCTTCGGGCATTTAAGTTGAAGATATTATATAATAGATCCGTCTTGGCCTTAGTGTGCATCAAGGTTTTTGATACATAAGTTGCTTTTTTTCATTTAAAGTTATTTCTATTTTATCTGTCACAG